ACAATGTTTATTTTATAGATATAAAATAAATGCTGAACCCTGTTTGTCTACTCGTTTTACAATCCACTCGAAAGTGTGTTTTAATTACTATGAAATGGCCCTTATGAGCGTTAAATAAAAACACACTTTACCTGCCTCTATAGTCAGAATTTACAGGTTAAAATAAGTCAAAATACTGGACGATACTATTCGATAGATGCCGAATTTACGGTCAATATATGCTTTATTGAATCTTCAAAAAATAAGACGAAGCTCTGACAAATCCTGTCTTTGAAAAACCGACGACTATTAAGTCGTTACATAAGAATCCTGCTTTTGCGTAAGCCATTGTCGACACTTTGGACCTGTGGTCTTTAGTAAACTCAGATGAGAGAGTCAGCGATACAGAAGGTTTATTAAGTTCCGCCTCAGAGTCAAAATGCGAAACTAGCCAGCATCGATTAGATTCTGCTCTTTACGAAACACATTAAACACCAACTCGTAGATTCTGCTATGCGTGTCAGGGAACCGCCAAACCACAACTCAGTCTAGCCCGCCACGCCCACAGGGGATTCGCTTGGACCATGTCACTTAGCCACATAGTCACCTCCACGGGTTGAAGAATCAAAATATTCTGCCTATGTGGGCTCTCAGAGCTAAGCCAATGGGAAGGTGTAAATTAAGCTAGGACAAGACCCTTAAATACGACATCACGAATACAATGATATAGGACAGATACACTTGCAGTGACTGTCACAGTAAAACTGTTCCCCGCCATCTTGTCTACCGGGGAAAATTGGATTTCTAGGTAAAAATATCTGACAGACGTTTCCTATAAGAGAACGGCCTGGTAATATGGTTTGTGGGGTCAGTTGTTGTACAGTATTTGCTGCACAGCGCCGATAGAGGAAAACATCCGAGGGGGAAATGTGTACGACATGGAGAAGCTAAATAAGTGACCAGTGTTTTGGAGAATTACCACCATGTTCTGCCGACCGTATATGTCATTTTTGCCAACTTGGACGGTACAAAACCTTTCAAACCTATTGCCATTCTGAAACAAAATTACAAAAAGAAATGAAGCAGGAATCACAGGAGCTACTGACGATAAGTACCCCACTTTTCCACTGTTCCATCTGACGATGTCCACCGTATGCTGCATAAAAAGGTGAGGCAAGAACGTTGAATTGCGCACGAATTAGTTTATAGTGGATGTGGACTTGCACAGTATATACTACATTCTTTCCAACTTCCCCACCTGCGACCCGTTTTGAGTAAACTGGAGGCGAAGAAGGACGCAGACAGATGGCCGGGGTGAGCTCGCACCCTGGTACTCCATACCAAACCCCCGGTCCACATGACAATGCCCAGAAGTTTGATCAACAACGACAACAGGGACTGGCGCGGCCGAAGTCTAACCTAGGCGTGCCATCACACCTGGGTCGGAGAGGGGGTTTCATAAAGGTCACATTAAGAATGCGCCACTGTAACCTGACTCTTCGATAACCCGTCGAACACTCCACACCAGCACACACAACACTGGACGGACTGCGCGGTCCAGTTATCCCGTTAGTTTGCGACATTCCAAGCCACGGCTTTTAGTTCACCGGATATTCTGAAAACCAACCTTTGTCTAGTTTTCAGCAGGAAGTTGTTATTCAAATTTCAAACAAAAGCGTTCCGTGTTGAGGGCCCTAAATTAACTTGGCAGACAATTTGGCACAGTTAGTTGAAATCTGCTCCACAAAAGCCGTTGTTTCAGCCCAGTATTTATTCTGGTCATCCATAACCGAATTTTCCGTCAAGTTTTGCAATTCAAAACTGATGTTTGTGCATGCACAGAGGCGATATCGATGTTTTTAAAGTGATTCTTTAGTCACACATAGGCCATCCGGTCATTGGCTGGTTCACAAACTAGTGCATGCTTTGTTTGTTGCGAAGGGGTAATCGCCACACCGTATGTGAGTCGACTACTGGATTTTTAATTTCTAAAGCGTCAGTGTCAGTGATTCGGATCACGCGGGCAGCAGACAATGGGTACTAGTGTCTAGAAATGTTAGTGTAGTACAGCATTCAAAACCTAGGGTCCGTTTCCGAGTGGTAAGTACAGCTCGCATCCTGCTCGCTCATGCCACTGAACCAGGGTTGCGGGGTGTGTCGGTTTCCGTGGACGCCGTAATTTGAGTCGTAATACTGCATTCAGACATAGTTTTATGAGTTTTTTTGGGCGTTATGAGTACAGACGGGTCCGACGCTGCCTCCTCTAGTGTTCTGATTAAATAACAATACCACAAGTCAGCGGCAGCAAGGAAGCAAGCAAACCTAGTTAATGGTGGTTCATGATTGCTGTGTCGCAACGCCGTCATCGGGCTTTGAGAAGTCTTATAGGACTGTCAGTGTGCCCAATGTCGCCC